GCATTTTTGGTTCTACTTAAATGTCATGTATTTAAGCAGGGAATGTTGTGTATATTTAATTAGAAAGGTATTTAGTGTAAGTAAAAATATCTTTCCAATATTTAATTGTTAATAAGCACTGGAAATTCATCTTTCAAAGCACTTTAACTGCACTTTGTAATTTTTTTCCTTTTCGACTCCAAAGTGTTTTCTATACCAGCAGTAATATGAATATTAGTTTTACCGTGTTTTGTGCTATCCTTCTTGAGGTAAATACATTAACGTATCAGAAGTTTCTTGCTGACCTCAGTATTTTCATGACGAGTGAAATTCCAGTTATGATGCTGATAGTTTTCTGAAGAACTGTCAGTGATTGTAAATATAACTTAACAAAATGATTGCGAATAATACTTAAGAACTAGTAAATAGACAGTTGCCTACTCAAATAATAATAATAACTCTAGGAAACTGTATATAGTGTGCCGTGCCCGGGAAGTATAACGCACTGGTTCCGAGTTGAGTGTCTATCTCTATTGGTCATAATACGGTAACAAATCCTCCCATTTCAAACGCCATCACTAGAAGCCATTCGACTTTCCGCTTCAATAAACAACAAAAAAGGAAAACGTGAAAAGTTCATTTAAGGAGTAGAACAATGTATACATAAGTAGTTAGTAGGTATTCAGCAGTCTGCGAGGTTACTGAAGATTAATCCTGTAGATGGCGCTCCTCATGAGCTCTAGTGTACGTATCTAGCAGCAGTTTGCGTGCTCTCTCCGGGTTGACTGGGCCAGTAACTGCATTTCATACATCATTGCAGAAGTGAGCATTCGCAGTTCTCTAATGTCCACAGTAACTTGGTTAAGTTCAATATGCATGTGGTTATAGCTTCGTAACCATCTTGTATAGTGGCAAAATATATCTGCAGGGAAGTTAATTAACGTCTCTGAAGACTTACCGAGATCACGAGACAGATATCTGTACACAATTAAATGACTGTAGAGCATATGCATCACAGTGCTGGTGTAGCAGGAGCATTTGCAGTCGTATTTTTCAACTACGTAGTACTTCTGACCTTCTTGAAAGACTACATACACCTATGTAGATTCAACTACTTGCATATCTCTACGCGCCAGGATACTTTTGTGCACAATATGCTGCGTAGTTCGTCAGAAAACGCAGCATATCAGAGGTTATGTAGTCCGTCTGTAATTACGGAGATAAGAACAAAGGACTTACATCAAAATGCATGTAGTAGTGCAAACTGCGATTTCCTTCATGGGCCTTCCTGCGATATAGTTCCATGGAACATTTCCGACAACTTCCGGAAACTTCTTGTATTTTGTTATCATTTCCCGAGTTGCAAAACTAAACATCTTGACTCTTCTATCTCTGTCCAGTAAGTACCACACCAACCCTGTCTCTCGGATTTCTGAAATCGGTGAGTCTATGTCACGAATTCCTAAACACATATGAAATAAAAACAGCACATTACTAGGGCATACCAGTTCCCGGAAATTTCTATAGTCATCCTACGTCATAGCTTACCGAACTCGATGTCAACCATGCCAATAATTTGACCTGGTGATCCATCACGTTCGATAAGAGGTAGAATCCTCATTTGCTCCTCACCACCAAGTCTTCGAACACGTGGTTCTACATACATCAGCAGCTCTGACGATAAGTCGTGGTTGTGTACAGTGTTAACAGGTTCTACAACTTCATAACGCCCGAAATTCAGTTTAATTCGAAAGGTGAATGGGCAACCCAAGAACTTAGATCTGTAATGCATATGTTATAGCTTTTATTACAGCACTTACTGTGATTTTCGCTGCTTACTTCCTTCTGGCTTTCTCCACCGACCAACATAGCAACGAAAAACAGCATAACGGTATTCATATGCCGGGTCTACACTATTGTTCTCGTCCGTATTTAGGCGACAGTCACGAATCCGACACACTTAGTTTCCTCTGGCATTTAATGATGACTCCATTAATTAAACAACTTACATTTTCAAATCGTTTAATGCACGCTTCACACTGGCCATGTTTGTAAGCTTCTGTTCATCACAAATTGTCTGAATTCAGGTACCAAATTTACTGGTCCAACGTTCGATCTGAAGGACATCTTCATGTTGCTTTACAAATACCGATTGTTACAAAAACGCGTCTATTCAGCGCAACAACGAAGCCCCGATGTTTCCAAAATTAGAAAATACCGCTTTTTCTTTTATGAGGGCTATATCGCACTGACCAATCAGAAAATGACAATTAACGTTTTATCTCATTCGCACGAAATAGGAAATCGTATTTTGGAGGTTACAATTACGTCCGGCGACCGGCATTCGCATGACGTTCGGCGACTGCCGCTTGTATACAGTGCTGGTCCGGTCAGCTAACATATTACCACAACTAACGCATCTGTGCACTGTGCGGGTAGTTTTTGATCTGATCCATGCAGTCTTCGTAGCATTTAAACACACGTATGGCGTTGTTCTCTTTTCAAATACATCTTTAATGTAGCAAACTTATGGGACACCACTTGACTTCACTAAGCATCTAAGATTTCAGTTTGATTTCTTGTTTGATGATCGGAGTATGTAAACCTATATTAACCCTTTTCCAGTAGGTTTATGTGCTTTTACATTCCCCTTTTGAACGAGTCATCCTAAAAGACACCTCCCAAGCTCTAGTTGGAAGCGCCACCTTAGGGGTCACCCGTTTAGAATAGACCATGAGAGATCACGTACAAAAATCCGTGCTAACTCGTATGCAGTTAGAGTTTGTAAACTGTGAAGCTCCCTTTCTTCAGCAGTTTTTACTGCCCCATCACCTCATACTTTCAAAAGGAGGTTAGGTGCACATCTCAAGTCTTGTGGTATCGATGGGCTGTACTCGCGAAGCTTTCCGTCATCTACAGATCAGGAGCAGTAATACTATGAGACCGGATCAATCAATAATCGATTATCTCTATCCTTTCAGGTTTTTCGGAACCAGGAAGGCAGTTATGACCACTGCAAACCTAGGACGTGCTCCAATAAAACAGACGTAGAACCCAAAGGACAGTCGTTCACTGATTGTACAACACGAAGTTTGAGTTAATTGATGATGCGGACACCACTTCTTCTGGAGGTTGATCATTTGATGCGAGAACCAGTACTCTGCGGAGACTACGTTCGTTCTTTGCTTTTGTATCTTTCTACTATGTCCTCTTAGGTGTCCTGAGCTAGTGGGAATGAAAAAAGAAGATAGATCAGGTCTGAAGTCATTTCTTCGAATCTTGTATAGCATGATTAGGTCTCCCCTCTGCGATAGGATAAAGTGAAGAGGTTCAGCTCCTTAAGTCGATCCTCACAGGTCAGGCCAGCCATCTCAGGGATCATACGAGTGGCTGCCCTCTGAACTCTTTCTAGAAGGTCTGCGTCACCTTTCAGACAAGAATTTTCTGCCTGTGTACAGTTTTATAATTTAGATGTAACTAAGGATATGTATAAGACGGTGAACATATCATCACTTATTTTTGTAAACGTTCTGCGTAATACCCAGTGTCCTAAAATTCCGAGCTGCCAACAATCGACAGTGAGCCGTGGTGTTCAAGTCATAACTCACCGTGACTTCTAGGTCATTGTGGGTCAGTCCCATTAATATCGTAGCAGTTGTTATGTGTGTGCCCCGTGTACATCCCCACACACTTACCTGCGTTGATAGGCACCAGCCCACTTCTCTGACCAGGTAAACAAACTATTTAAGTCTGCTTGAGTGGCACATATATCCTCGTTGTTCCTAATTTCCAGCCTGATTTTCACAGAAGCGTAGAGAACCATAGGGGGTTTCATGATATTTGATAGCCCTTTTACGTATAGGAGAAACAGCAGGTAGCCCAGGGCTGTGCTTCGCGGCACTATACTCTCCACCGTCTTCTAAGAGGAGAGTTGAGAATCGATCCTTACTCTCCTACCAACGAGTAACTCTCTTATCCATGCGAGCAGACTGCCAGTGATTCCAAAACTCCAGTTTCCCAAGCAATCTGGAATCAGGTACCTTGTCAAACGCCTTACTAAGTTCTATGAAAATGATATCTACAGGTATCCTATCATCTTTAGAATCAACTTAAATTTCTCTGTGAGAAAGCTTGTCAAGCAAAAGAAATGTCTGCGCAAGCGATAGAGTGTTGCTCTTTGGGTGGACTGTGTTGGCTTGATTACTCTTTCTAGAATTTTTACTGAAGTACTTGTAAAACTTAATCTGTAATTTGATGGATGGCGCCTTGTAGATAGGTGTAACTATGGTACCCTTCCAATCATAGGGGTGTGCCTTAACTGAGGGACAGTTTAAATATAGTAGTCAATGGACCGGCTACACAAAGTCCAAGCTCTCTGAGTAGCCTTGGATGCAGCTCATCCGGTCCCGTCGATTTTTCTACATCGAGAGTACTTAGTGTCCGAAATAAACCATTACAGTCGATATCCATATAGTTTATTCTGTTAGATGTCAATGCTTCTACTGTTGAAGATAATTGAATCATCATCGCTGCTATTTGCTAATGGTGTCAAGTAATGTAATATCGTTCATAATGATAATAAGTTTTCATTCTAAGCTGACGTTGGTGAATTGGTTTAGTGGTCTCAGCAAAATAGCCTGTAAATCAGTTCTAGTAAATGTTCAGTTGTGTATATTGGTAGTGACTATGTGGGTACTCAGTGAATAATCAATCAACACCTCGTTTTCATAATTAGACTTGGGTTTTAGAAAATTATTACTTGGAGACAACTGCGAATTTTAATACTTTTGCCGCTAAAACGCTTTGCTCTTCTCGTAGAGTACTGCATACAGCATACAACATCCGTAGTGGTAGTAAAGGAAACTTGAAGCTTTTAAGCTGTCGATTCTGTTCGTTCAGTTGTACTCCCTCGATGGTCACAGAAGTCTTTACAGTTCGCTTGCTTATAGCTTTGGAGATAGTTATAGTCTATTTGAAGGCTTTTTTCTTACCATTTCCAACTGTGGTTTATTTTGGAAATCAACGAAGCTGCTGGTATCCAATTAACCTTTTAAGATTCCTGTTTTTGTAAGCGCCTGTGAGTAAATATTAAGGGTTACTTAAAAAGTGCTAGAAATAGGGCTAGTATGAAATAACAAAAAAGGGAGTGGAAAATACTTGCTAAAAAAGTGTTACTTCTAATAACATGAAAAAGGATGCGTCTTATTGCATATACTAGGATTGGGAATACAAGGTTGGATGGGCATACCTACAGTTGCTACCGGCAAATGTTTATGGTAAGCCGTTTACGCTCATTTACGAATCCAGAAGTCTTTTGAAGGACTCAACTGATGTAGCTGTGGCTACTTCCTTCGGTAGAGCGTTCCGTAAGTTACATACTCTATGTGAGAAGTTTGATCTTGCTCTCGTCTTCGCCCTATGATGGTGTATGCATGTGGGTCCCCGCGAGGCTTGGCTTTGGACCGATAATGTTGACCTATTTAGGTGGTCTACTTGGTGGATAATCTTATTGGCTGTTATCAGGTCACGTCGTTCCCTTCCACAGCTTAATGTTAACAAGTTGAGTTATCTGAAGCGTTACTTATTTGTTTTGCCTGTTAGTTTGACAAGCGACCATGTCGCCCTTCTCTGTACTTTCTCGATAGTGCTAGCGTCTCTCCTTAGTGAAGGAATGAAGGGCTGTCACTTTGAATACCTGTAGATGTGGCCTAACATAGTTTTTAAATGCTGAGGAATTATTCCTAAGTTAGTTTTCTAAGCTGCTTTCTTAGAAATTGCGTGTCTGCATTCGTCCTTGCTGCCATTCCGTTATAGTTGACACCTGTATCAGAGTTTAGTTCTGCTCTGTGGTTACCTTGATGACTGCGCACTTGTTGAGAATGTAACTAGTTTCATCGCTCACGGTGTGCAAAGACACATCACCTTTATTTCTTCAGGTTAAAGCGGACTGGTATGAACTGTGGCAACTCGGACCGCTACGCAGTAATGTCTGGTCCTATGCTGATATTGATGATGACGACTGTCTATCTTACAGGCATGGTTAGTGTTGTCAACAGAATTCAGTGACTAGTTTTCTAAAGTTGCCAAGACGTTCCTCTATTCGACCTTGAATATGCGAACGATATCGTCTTATTGTGCGGTAATACACAGGCTATTCAAACCCCATTTAATCAGTTGGTGATTAGTTTATTTCTCCACAATATTATTATACTATTTTACATGGAACATTTCTTGGCACCCTTGCTGTATCATGTTCTAGTAAATAAATCAATAATCCTGTAGTTAGGAGGGTGTTAAGTGATCATTTAGCCCCTTTTTCATTTCTCTTTCCAGACTGATGGTTGAACAAACACTATGAATCATTTTACATCAAGTGATGAAACCGATTTGTGCGAATTTCCTTTCTTTCAATCCTCTCTCGATGAAGAACAATCAGCTGTTCATAGTGATTGTGATACTGCAAAATTAGGATCACTTCTCAGTTTCAATATGTTCGGAACATGTTCTTTAAGAAATGTTAAGCATATTATACGTCAGAATCGATGTCTAAAACCTTTACGACTTCATTTGTTAAAGTCTATTCTTGAAGTATGCAGAGCTGCTGGCGTAGAACCATTTGTTTACGGTGGTACAGCTTTATCAGTTTTTCGTGAGAATGGAAAATTTATACCTCATGATACAGATATTGACCTCGGTATACTAGAATATGATACCGAAGGAAAAGGCGTATATACTAAACTAATGCACTACTGCCTACAAAATGGTATAAGTATTAATGGAGTAGGGAATTTAGAAGATTCTATACTAGTCAGTACAGATTCTGATTTATATGTGGATTTCTCAGCCAGTGTTAGCAAACGTGTATGGCTTACAGCAAAGCAATTCAATGTAGAAGAAAGTGTTGAAGAACTATCGTATGATGGAGTTGATTGCAAGCGAATAAAATTTTTCTACAGTAATAATGGTTTATTAAAAGCTTGTAAATTATTCAATATGAAGATGAGAATTGTTAGACACATCCTTTCTGATCCATGTTTAGTACATGTTGACCTATTCACCTTATCTATACATCCAAGTGATTCATCAAAGGAACAGAGTTTACTTGTCAATTGGAATTTACCCGGTATATATGATTGTAAAAAGAAGTTATTCCCGTACACTTCATTCTTCCCTCTAACCTGTTGTCTGTTTGAAGATATTAGCTTATTGGCACCGAATAATTTACAAAGCTATTTAAGCATAGAATATGGTTATTTGGGACGTGATGCAGTTTATGATTGTAAAAACCAATTGTATATGAAAATATCTTCAGATTATTCTCAATGATTACCGTCACACTTTCTTCAATAATGATGAAAATGAATTTGTTTTGATGACTGCATCTATATCTTACCATCTTTCTTTTAATTTTTTGGCATGTGTATATTTATTAAACTGTCAAATCTCGGTGATATGCTTTTGTATACTACATAATATCTTCTACGCCTAAAGAGTAGATCTTGTGTAATTTATTCTTGTTTTTACTCCAGAATAAATCAGTATACTTTGAAATTCAAAGGTTGAAAATTGTTTTTGATATTGTTTGATGTGTATATCGATAGATATAGACGACAATAGACATGATGATGATGATGATGTGTTCATTGATTGTGGACTATATTTTATAAACTTATAAATTGAAACATTTATTCCACCTGTTAATAATGAATACATGCCTAGCAGTGGAATCCATCTTGACGCAGGTTTTGTCCTGTTCTGGACTCGTCAGCTAGACGTATCTGTCTCTCAGTGAGCGATGTTCTCCCCACTAGGACTCGAGCTTGGGATGGGGATTATCGGTCAATTCAATGATTTAACATTTACTCCACTTATTTTAAATAACAATGAAGTGGTGTAAATCATCTCAGTGATCTATACTTTGCTTCGACTTCATGTGTCAATTGTTCAACGAAATGCACATTGCTCCTTCTTAAGAGGTGGCTCCCTCTGGAGATTCAAAGGGAGAATTATTTCTTCATGTATAAATTCCATTTACTCGTGTTTTCAAATTTCTTTTGGTAGGTTCTTTCATTTCATAACTTAGTATGATGAAGCAAAGATCATAGATCCATAGCCAGTGGACACGGTTCATCATCATCAAGATAAACATGAGACCAGGCATTACTAACTGCGCAACGGTCCAAGTTGCTACATACCTCATATCAGCACATCAAGTAACTAGACGACAAAATAGAAGATGAAAAAGGTAAGAAACATCGGCCACGAGAAGTAGAAAGTAGTAAAAGAGAAGAAACAAGAATGAGAAGATAGTAAGATTAATTATTGCGGTTTAGATTAGGATAACGTGTGTGTGTATATATTGGTTCTGAGCCTTATCACTTGGAGTCTCCAACCACTGACTCATCTTGTCCCACGGACCCCAACATAGCTCAAACGAACGAAACTGGTCTACTCCACTAATTTTTCCAGTCTATAGGAAATGAAAGAAGTCTTCTGTGACAACCATAGGGGGATCAGTTTATCTAACATCGTATTCAAGATCCCAGGGTCCACAATTATTCGATGCCTAATCAGACTTCAATAAAACTGGACAGGTGGCAGACCTAGACAAGATTTCATCGATCAGATCTTTACTCTCAGATAGGTTCTGGAAGGCAGCACCTGATATTTGGTATATTTCTATACCTAAAGATTATATTCTGTCTGGTAGGTGTCTTACTATGAAGCGAGTACTGAGCAAGTATGCGTTCAACGTTCTTTTCTCAAACTCACATAGCCGTGTAAGGGCTTATGAAGAGTTGCCAACAAGCTGTGGTGTTCGCTAGAGATGTTCATTTTCACTGTTCCTCTCTAACTACGTTGGAGGTGTACTGATGAATTAACTCCTCTAGGTATCTCGGACTTCACACTGATTCATCCACTTTTTGTACATTATCTATTTGACTTGGAGTATGCATACTATTTTGTCGTCTTAGGTGAAGACGTTGACAAAACATGGAGTCTTCTGAATGCTTTGAGCAGAAAGCTGTCTATCTTTTACATGTGTTTCGCACTTGCTAAATGTAAAACGATGCTTTGGGACTTGTATATCCCAGCTCCTGTTTTTAGGATAAAGAGTAAAGTGGTAGGAATGCATTGGGGATTTCACTAACTCATAGAGTTGCGTTGGTCTAAGCGGGATGGTTACTGACAAGATCTCAGTATTTGCCAAGTTGCATCATCCCTGGCACCGGCTGGCAAGATTTTCGACTACCAATTTAAAGTTAGAGATAGTGCGCCATAGTTTTCACTGTCTTATTATAAGGTTGTACGACTTGGCCATTGAAAGTGGATAAGGTTATGGGTTTCCGACCTCAGGTGTGTGATGAAATCATGTGAGCAGTGTAGAGGTTAGAAGAACGGTACTGGGCTGACATGTTGGTGACATCGTGAACTTTCACCAAGGGAGATGGGTTCCATGCGTCGCGTATACTGAGCCACTACCTTCCTTAACGTGAAAGCTTAGTCGAAGTAGAATTGGGTTCGAAGACGGCTCAGAGTATCTAGGCGAAGACGTGGCATCACTTCATGAAGTCTCTTACTATTAGTTTGAACCATATACGCAGGGGTAGACTCCCCAACCAGGCTCCTCGAGATAACAAAAATCAATGATTGCAGACAATGGCTGATACAGATGTATTCACTTTTTGATGTCTTCTAAAACTTAAAGATTCCCACTAACATGAAATCTCAAAATCTTTCTCTCATACACTTGTCTTCATAAAGTAAAAGCTGGTGAAGTTTTCTAGCCCAACAGTGTAACGTCCGGAAGGAAACCTTTGAGCTGAGATAATATCAAACAATTATCAAAAGGTAACACTCTTCAAAAGGTGAATTCACTTTTTTTTCAAGGAAGATAAGAGATGAAACAAGTAAAATGTCTGTATAGAATGAGCCTGTCTTCGTTAGTTGTACTAAGAGCCTAAACTGTAGATAAACTTAGCTATTTGTTCACACAGTTGTGTTGGTTTACTGTCTCATCGAAACCGATCGAATTAACGCAGTAAAATGTGCTATTTCGGTAGCTTTTTCTATCAGGTGGCTTTTTTCGCCGTAGTCAATCGACTTCAATCTAGATGAGAGAGAGAGAAGAGCATAAAACGAGTTATGTTGTAGTGAGTAATTGTAGCCTTACATTCGAATCCCGTTTGTTACTGAAACCACCTCAGTCATCGTTAGTGTATTTCTTATCTTTCTGGTATCCAAATGAAATGTTATGGTTATACAATTTTAGATATATTACACCAGCAACTTCGCCAAATAATCAATTTAGATCAGCAAAATATCATTCCTGACTGATTTATTCATGTCACTGTAAATTTTAACCTCCCTTGATGATAATTATTATAATCCGTAAGGTTTTAATGACACAGTGTTCAGAAACAAAAGGATGAATACATACGTTTGTTTGTAAACTAAGTCTTCGTCTAAAAAATAACTTCTACGGTGAAAAGAATCTAGCCGATCAGAATACGTTATTCCGTAACAGAAGCATAATTCTGTAAAAGGTCAAATTATTGGCTTGATATCACTCTCTCCACTCTGCGAACAGTGGTGGGCAGCGAAGGCCAAAGAGATGGAAAAGACAACGGCAGTTGGTAATAGAAGACAGTAATTTAGACTTATTAAGGAAACTGGGGGGGGGGGGTTAACAACAGTTTGTGAAGCTATAGAGGAGAAGGACGGGTCTGCTACTCACTCGCAAGGAAGACGACTGCAGCGATGGACATAGCACTTCGAGGAGCAGTTTAACTCGCCTCCTTCCACCATTACTTTGCTTGCTATCCAGTCGGATCCTGAATGGAACATTCAGATAGGCCTCCCAACACTAGCAGAAGTCGAGAAAGCAGTAGGTAACCTGAAACGAGGAAGGACGGGAGGACCAGATGGTACATAGGGATGGTGGTAAGGTGCTCTTACTCACGTTAACTGAAGTGTTAACCAGCATATGGGAATCAAATACGATCCCCTTCGACGGTCTAAATCACTGATTATTCCAATCTTCAAGAAAGGCGGGAAGTCCTCTTATGATAACCACAGAGGAATCAGCCTGACGAACATACTGTCTAAGATTCTAGGTTCTATAATTCTTCGACGCCTGACTGGAGCTCGGGAACAACAAGCCCGAGAAGACCAAGCAGGCTTTAGACCCGGCCGCGGGTGTATCGACCAAATATTCACACTACACCAGGTTCTGGAACATAGGCACGCTTACCGATGCCTGGTACTAGTTGTATTTCTCGACGTGAAGGTGGCATTCGACTCCGTTGATCGAGAGGTCTTATGCTAATGTCTCTAACTGAAAGGCATGCCGAATGAGTACATCGCCTTATTGAAGGCTTTCTACTCGAACACTTGTGGGCGTGTTAAACCCTATGGTGAGATGTCCAAGGGGCTATGCTTATCGAGTGGTGTCCGTCAGGTGTGCTCACCGTCTCCGTTCTCATTCAATTTTATCATAGATATTCTTATGAAGGTCTCCCTCTCGTCACCTGATTACCCAGATGTTGACCTAATCACAGGAGAATTTCCATTATACCTAGAACATGCAGATGACATAATCCTGTTAGGTGAAGACGTTGACAAGATGAAGAGTCTTCTGAACACTAAGTGGGAATTTGAGAATGTTTGGGATGTGTTTCTCACCACCCAGGTGCAAATTTCTGCTCCAGTATCGGTCTTCAACGGTGCCCCAGTGCGGCTAATAATAGATAGTATAGTGATTGAGTATGTCGACCACTTCACTTACCTGGGAAGGTAGGATCAGCTCTGGTGGCTGGCTCAGTGGCCGATGAAATCTCTGCATGAATACAAAAGGCTTGGCTAGCTTCTGCCAACTTACGACTCCTGTGGCGCCGCTGTGATATCCGATTTTCCTTTAAGGGTCGCGTGTACTGCACAACAGTCCGGTCTGTTCTACTGTATGGCTGTGAAACATGGTCATTGAAGGTGGAAGACATGACCACCGTTACCTTCGTAGTATAGGCCGTATTCTGTGGTGTCACCACATAAGTAACCCAGACGTCAAGCGTAGAGTTTTAGGGAGTAAGGATAAATCAGTTGCCGAGGTTATGAACCTTCATCGATTGAGATGGTTCGGACACGTATTACGTATGCCTAGTCGCTGATTGCCTCATCACACAATATTGGTCGAAGTAGGTTTAGGCTGGAAAAAGGCGTGACGTGGCCAAGCTAAAACATGGCACCAATGTACGAAGTGTTTGACTGTTTGTTTGAGGCATGTGGGGCGATTCAGACTTGGTGCCCGGGGTCCATGGGACAAGAGGAACCAGTGGTTGGAGACTGACTCTAAGTGGTATGGCTCAGAGTTGATGTCAGTGGCGCAGATGTATACATACATTATCCTCATCTTAACGATGCTATACCGAATCTCATCATCTTGTCATTCTTCCTTTCTTTCTTCTTGTACTTTATATCTCTTTAGACTGGATTCTGTTGTCTTCATCTTGCACCTCACTGCCTTTTTACTTGATGCAGTGATATGAGGTGTGGCGAGTGGGACCGTTACGCAGTAATGCCTGGTCCTCTGTTGATGTTGGTGATGATGAATTTAAACACTTAATCTACTCTACTGATTGTTCATAATCAATCGCTAAGAATTACATTTTTCTATCCAAAGAATAGATCATAGTATAAAGTGGTTCTGCGCAACTGGGATTCCAGTTTTGAAATTCATTGATACAAATTCCTCAATAATAATAATAATAATAATTCACTTTATTCCAAATAATTTGTGGTTAATAGGTAATAGGGCTCTTCATGGAATCTGGTGATGTAGGATTTTGATCAAGTCAGAGCGGTTGTATGTGATCAGCTGCAGTTGTCTGATTTTCCCTGATGTTTAGGAATTCTCCTCCAATTCCGATTAGTACTGCAAAAGTAGTTGCTAATCCATTAACTTTAACAATGTATGTCGATGTTAAGGACATCAAACTTGTAAGGGACTACTCTCAAAGCTTGTACTGTTGTTAGCTGCAGTCCATGGTAATGATTTAGCGTAAATAATGGGAGCTTGAAATAACGATGATGGTGGTTATGATAATGAGTTGAGTGTAAACAAAAAGGGTTACGTAGAATTTCTAAATCGTTTGTGAGGTGCTGAAGATTACAAAGGGTGAAAACGTGGTGGAGTTAATAAACAGTCAAATGATTAGGTAATAAAAATGAAACTATCTTCGAGTAGTGATTTCCGAAGCTCCAACAAGAAGTCGTGACTAGCCATGTCGAACATGGGGACAGTTACTCAACGATGCCATTGCACGGAGGTCGCGCTATATCGTGAACTGACAGAAATAGGAAATGTGAACTAGTGGGTCAACGGTAACGTGCTGTCCGTGACATCTGAAGGTCCTGAGTTCGATCCCTGGCGGATGGAGTCATGGGTGCTCACCGCTGAGAAGTCCCATACTAGGACGAAACCAATGTCTGGTGTTCCCAGACCAAGTTCCCGGCCCTATGCTCCACTAATTGAGCTACGATGTCCAGTGGTAGACCATCAGGTAGGAAACCCGGTGGCCGCTAGTTCGAATTCGGCTACGGTTCAACTTTTCATTTCACCTTCAATCATAATCCAGTAACCCTTTTTGTTATCACTCGATGTCTACGCCATCAACTAGTAAGATCAGTATTTGTGTCTTTATGTAACTGTGTGTATGAATGAGCTAGTTTGACGGAATTCTAATGAACACACCTCAAGTAAGCTTTCCTACATCATGGTCTTCTTGTTGTTATCATCATTATCTCACTTTTCATGGATACAAATTCACTCTAAAACACTATTATTATTTACTGTGTCCCTTGGTTCCTAGTGGACTATAGGGCTTCAGTAGCACATCGCCATTTCAATCTGTTCCGTGTAGCGTTTTTAACCCACGCTCCACGACTGCCCATAAACTTTCATCTCTTCCTCACACGATCTCCTCTATGTCACCCTCGGACGCCGAACTCGTCTTTTTCTGTTTGGCTTCCACTTAAGGGCCTGGCTTGACTCGTGATGTCCTCAAACCGTCTTCTCAGTCTATGTCCAATCCAATCCATCTCCGCTTTCCTCTGCATATTTGTTGTACGATAGGTTGTTGGTTGGTTCGTAGCCAGCCAATCGGAGTTCCTTGTTGCTTACTCTTTCTGGCCTGATAATCTAATTTTCAGTGTTGAGTAAGTGTAGGCGGCAGCTGTTGATGTCATGCGTGTCTGCAGTTTGTTGAGGATGCTTTTCGTAATGCGCCAAGTCTCTCTGCCATTACATAGATGCACTGACTTACTTGACTGAACTAGTGTTAGAAATCCGGATGTTATTCACGCCCCGACGCTGAGTGCAGTGCAATGGAGTGGAGTAGATCTCCACACTGGTTTCAGATTAATGCAGGAAGGCCTGTTTTGCTGTCTTTCCTATCCTGACTGCTTCGACATCCTGATCTGTGCCTGTGCCGCCTGTGGTTGTTGTTGTTGTTTGGGTATCTTTACCACCTCTGTCTTCTCTACGTTCACTTGAAGGAGGTCCCGTCTTCGCTGCCCTGCCTCTTCTGTCAACTTGTTAGTTTTTGCCTGTATATCTTCAAGGTTGTGCAACAGTCTAAAACACTAAATCAACCAAAATAAAACTTTATTTCTTTTAATTGTATAGATTTACAAATGAAAGCATTGAACAGTTTAGGACGTTTAACCCGTCTACGTGATCTACTGAAGGCTAGACAGTTACAAGCGTATATTCTTCCAACAGAAGATGAACATTTCAATGAGTATGTGTCTGATGCAGATCAACGTTGTGCATTCATATCTGGATTCACTGGTTCATCTTGCTCTATTGTTATCACTTTAGATAAAGCTGCTTTATGGACAGATGGTCGATACCAATTGCAGGTAATTATTATTCACTATATAAGGTTTATTTTTACTTTTGTAATCCCCTGGCGTAGTACATTAGAATAAATAACGAAATAAACTAATATTTTGTGCATTATTCCTCAACGTTTCGATCTTGCTTGGACGAAAAATCCTTTTCTTCAAGAGTATGAGTGTGACATTAATTTTTCAGGTTAATATTCAAGTTTTGGTACTCAAGGTGGTGAATTTTACGATCACCATCCATGTGATGTTGTCGATGAGTGAATTAGCTAATCGATCAGAGAGGCTTTTTCGAGTTGTACAGGTAAGGTTGAACAAAAATCTGATGAGGCGGGGGGCTTGGAAAATTTAGTTGGATTATGAAAAGTACAATGGGGTTGTGGGTCATCACCGGAGAAGGGAAGGGTGAGAGAAAGAATAGATGAATATTTGAACATTAAATAATGTATAGTAAATAATAAAACGATATTCATCACCGACTGACATCAGTTGGGGAACCGTTGAAAACCTATGAACACTGGATAGCTGTTCTGTCCTAGTATGGGACTCCTCAACAGTACACATCGACGACCTGGTTACTGGTCGAACTCCGAACCTTCAGGTTTCACAGTGAACGCGTTAACCATTCAGTTTTTGATGTGACTGTGGGTTGGTGGATAACATAGGTTCTAATAATACGCGAACGAGCTAACAGCGCAATATGGTACTTGGACTGGATACGAATAATACAACTGTTCTCCCCCACACCCTATACTTCACTGAGCCGCGAAAATCAGAAGACAATAGACGGTCTGTGACTACGGAACAACGATAACGACTTTTTTTTAGACAAATATATGGTATATATATATATACAAATGTATATTTACAAAACTCTCAGAAAATGAAGCCATAAATGAACTAATCCGATTTGTTGTATGACGTCCAATTTATCCAATCAGGTTATCATATCAGTATATCCATAAATCATAATCTGAAAACGTCTTCTGTATTGGCTGCCTTTTTTTCATTACTTATCAGTTCCCAACTTCACGATGTAATGCGACTATCACCCGAGGTCTTCAGTTGGCATGCGCTTCATTTCCGATTGGTTGACCCCACAGGTCACGACCCTTCATTCCGACTTCGTGATATCTATTTGGAAGCACGTCACTAATGAGCACTATGCAGTAATATATTTTCTAGATGTGAGTGGAGATTTTAATCTAGAGGTAGTATTCATCACGGACCGACATCAGTTGGAGAAACATTAGAAGTCTGGGAGCACTAGACAGCTGCTTCGTCTTAATTTGGGAGTCTTCGAATGGACTGCTGAATTTTGACTCACTGACTCAACAGTAACGTGCTGACCGCGGGACCTGAAGGTCCTGGGTTGGATCTCATCGGTCCAAATCACCAGCGCATGCACAGAACTACTGAAAAGAAGAAGGCTGATATCATAGTAGACAAAGGTGTATAGTAGGAAAATGAATTTGAAGAAAAAAGTTAGTGAAAAACGTCAATAAAATGGATATAACTGTGCCATTGTGACTGATTTTGCAGCCACGTTACCAAACTTCTCCAACTGTTGATTCTGTCATCTCGAAAACTTTATCTGGGTAGTCTACACCTTCCTGGACGGCTAATAGTCAATAGTCAGAGACTTAATGAACTAGTGCCACATTTTCATCTGACCGCATTGAACCTTTTTCCAAATTATTTCAACTTCTTCTAGCATCGTACGTCGGGGTAGGTAATGGCTCGGCATGAGGAACATAGATCCAAGCCATCTCAATTGACTAAGGTTTACACCTTTCCTTTCTTCGCCTAACATTGAGGTGAGATGATTTCACCATAAGTGAACAATGCTACGAAAAAACTTTTGGTCATAAACTTGAGATCTCTCCATATCTTCAACTTTCAACGACCATGTCTCTTTACTATATAACAGCCCAGGAGAGACTTCAGTTCAGTTTACTTCTCCTTTAGTGAGGTAGTCAGGTATCTCCCCATGTGGGCCCCAGAAATAATGCAGTCTGGTCAATGCAAATGGGCCTTTGGTGTCTGAACTGAGATTTCGTCAGCAACCGGCCAGTTTAGGCTGATAAAAATTTGAGGCTGTTGCTTACTGGTTCAGAGAAACGACTCTCGACCATTAGGTCACGAGTCCGAACCCCGCTGCACCTACGAATGTTCGTGTAGCCATACAGTATGACCAGCTTTCACACAATAGGTGTGGCCCATCGCCTAGTACATGGATATGTGCGTGAGTGCGTGATACAACTCCTCAAGTAAGTGAAGGGGTCAGCTCACGATTGGCAAGATGTATGCCACCACTAGCAACATAGGAACTGGAGTTACTGGGTAACGGTTCAAGTTGCCGCAATTCTTGTCACCACATCAAGTAGGGAAGATAAAGAAAGAGAGAAGATTCGGTCAAGAGTAATAAGACTGGAAAAAAACACTGAATTCAGTATGATGATTAGAATGAGAATAACGTATGAATACCTCTGTGTCACTGACATCGGTTCTGAGCCATACTCCACAGAGTCTCCAACCCCTGGACCCTCTAGTCCTGTGGACCCCAGCTGGCTAGTCTGCATCACCCTAGATGGCTCTTACCAACAATCAAGGACTTCATGTTCTGGTACAATGTTTTAATCTGGCTGCCTCGAGCCTTTTGCCAGCTTGAACCTACTTCGGCCAACATTGTGCTAAAAAGCAGACGTAACGTATGTTTAGGCCAGCCATGTCAGTAGATGAAGATTCACATCCTCACCAACTATCTTACCTCTTCTTCCCAAAACTCTACTTCTGACTTCTGCGTCACTCACGTGATGACACCACGAAACACGGCCTATTCTATCAAGGCAATAATGAACGAACACCCGAAGGTTTCTCATCATGTCCTCAACCTTTGATGGTCATGTTTCACAGCTGTACAGTAGAACATAGCGAACCACAGCTCATTATTACACTCAATCTTTAATAGATAATCATAAGTTGATGAAAGCCAATCGAAGCTTTTATATCTTTGCAGAGATTTTGTCGGCCACTCAACACCCTCTAGAGCTGATCAGACTTTCCAGGCAAATGAAGTGGTCAACGGGCCCAACCATACTTAAATCCCTTTTGTTAAACAAGGCACCAACGAACTCCACTCCATCTTCATCAGGCTGATTCCTGTTGTAATTAATACTTGAGAACTTCTCTCAACTCTTGAGGACTGGGGCAGTCAGTGATTAAAACTTATCAGAGTGGATCGTGTCTAATAACTGACGCTTCAGTTAACCTGCCCAAAAGTTTGCGACCACCACCACCTCCGATATAAGTCCTCCGAGGTCTGCCGTATTTTCATCGTTTTGATCACTCACACTTAGAGGCCCTATTTCAATATTCCATTTAGGATCCAAACAGATATCTGGCAACAGATTAGTAGCTGGAGGCCAATGGATCTATTCCTCGAAGTTCTCCGCCCATTGTTCTAGACATCTCCCTCTGCGGGTGAATCGCAGACCCATTCTTCCCCTCTAAAGTCTCACTAACTTTTTCGCCTCACTTTCCGTGATGTCTAAATAACTATTTGCTGTTACTTACCGCCACTGCCTTTTCCATATCTAGCCTTCGCTGCCCACTACTGTTTGCAGTCATTGCGTACACCTCTTATCAGCATACTTTTGAGTTAGTGTGCATCCATTAATTCAGAAGAAGCTGCTGATATCTATCGGCTCTTTTAAACATTCTTTGAGAGTCGGCTAAGGTCTTCAACACTGTTTTTAAAGCAGACTGGAGATGGCTCCATACTTTTTCTTAATGAGTGATATCGTTCTGTCCCAATAACTATCTAGTCAGTTTCTTGCTGAATGCAGCCTTGGTACTCCCATTGTCGGGCTGCACTCGCAATGGTTTTGTCGCAATAGTTTTTGTACATCCATTTAAATGCAGACATACACGTGCTCGAACGAACGCGTAGTCTCTATCCAAACACATGCTCCAGAAGGAACGATAGTCTTCCACGGGCTTTCTTCAGCGACAAATGTTGGCAGTGTAGTTAATGTGTCCGCCGCTCGGTTGAGGTAGGTGGGCGCCACATCAGACAGTGTCTTTCTTTATGTTTGAAGTTTGTGCTGGATAGAAACAAGTGGTTCGCTGTTATCTATTCTTTCGGCTTGGATCCCGAAAGTGCCACCTAAGTGCCGTTCTGCCTGACTTGAACTATCAATTTGTACATTAACATCGTCTGCCGCAACAGCCACTTCTTAACGTTTGGTTTTCATTAGGCAGCTAGAAAATTTTCAGTAGAACTCACTCTTGACTTCACCCGAACTTCAGTCATTGGGTGCACAGATTACAAAGTGACAACGGCGAGTTCCACTACTCTTTTAAGTCTTTCTTGCATCGTCCAGTCGAACAGCGCGCACTGGTGACCGTCAATTGCAATCCAGTTAGGCAGTGCACTTTCTACCTTATACACTAATATTATGCCTACACCTGCAAGTCGGTGTGAACTGTCCATTGAATCCCTAGATCCTTTAAGTGTAAATTTTGCAGATTCACCATTTTATCCAAGTGAGATTGAGTGAATGACTGTAATTGGGTGAGTTATGCGTGTCTCACAAACACAGCACATATCTATGCCCCCAGATACTAGAGTTTTGGCTTGTAAAGCTTGTTGGCCGATTCGACGAATGATTCCTACATTGAAAACTCCAATGTTTCGTTTGAAGCGTGGTCTAGCAGACCAGTGGTATTATTGTATGAACTCAGGTTGTTTACAAGAGCTGCAGAACCGAAAGGAATTAAAGATGATATATGAATACTTACTGAAAGACATAAAGGGAGATTAGAAGGAAGGAGGTGGACAGTGATGTGATGGAGCTTGAGTGCTCACAGAATTGAAAGGGCGATTTTAACATTTTCTGGCTGCTTACGCCGTGGAAGGCTATTTCTTGCTGACGTAACTGAATAAGAAGGGTTCATAAGTGACCTTTGAAATCGGTCATAGACGGCTTTTCTAGAACTTTGAGGTTTCAATTTGTTTTTTTCGAATCCGAGTATTCACGTATATCGCCGCCTCCCGTATTCTGTGGAGTAAAATGGAGGGTGATATTTTCAGAGTTCAGATTTTATTTTCCACTTGGTGTATACAAAGGGCATGCTAGTCATTCCAAATTTTTCGCTCACAATTTATATACCTGGTTCCACAAGAGCAGGTGAATTGATATCTGCACACAGAAGAGGTCAGATGTGAAATTTTCTCCTTTGAGTTGTCAGAAATCGTTGGGCGACAATAGAATACTAGTCTCAGCTTTGATGCAAAGAATATTCTCCTTAGAGCGTTTGACATCCTCCTTTTTAGAGTGTAATCAGCAGAAATCACCTTCGAAGTTTAGATTCATACAGAGTCTTTTTTGGCACGGTGGTCATGTTTACTTTGTGACGAATCCGTTTTCAATCAGGATGTTGCTTAGACCAGAAATTTCCACTTCTAACATATCGGAACTGCAGATTCGTGTAATGTGATCGGCAAAAGATATAATCAGATTTCGCTTACGGCTCATAAGGGCCCAGACTTTGAAAAAGCCTTTGACAGCGTTGACCGACAAGTAATTTGGCAGTTGCTTCAACACTACGGTTTCACTACCACAAACATTTATCAGCCTCATTCAACAGCTATATGACGATGCTACATGCCAAGTGATCCACAATGGGAAGCTCAGTGACGTATTTGAAGTGAAGAAAGGAGACATGAGTAAGACAAGGCTGTCTTCTATCACCAATGATATTCCTGATTGTGGTTGAATGGACTAGATCATGCAACAAACAGTGAGGAGCGAGAAGAGGGAGATACGTTAGCTGGACCGGGGAAAAGAACGTGGAATATTTGGATTTTGCCGATGACTTATTACTGATGTCACACAAACTCGAAGATCTGTAGTCGAAAACTAACAAGTTGACAGAAGAGGCGGGGTAGGGCAGCGAAGACGTGACCTCGTTCAAGTGAACGTAGAGAAGACAGAGTTGATGAAGATACCTAACCAACGACACCACCACCACCACCAACAACAACAACAATAACAACAAGAATCTCCAATCACCATGAATAGGAGAAACTTAAATGAAGTAGTCTGTTTCACCTATGTAGGCAGCAGTATTTCAACTACAGGTGGCGGCACAGACGACGACATCAAATGCAGGATCAGAAAAGCAAGACAGGTGTTCATTGGCGTGAAACGAGTGTGGAGATGTTCTGCACTGCACTCAGCATGTGGAACAACATCCGAATTCTCAACACTAATCTCATTCAAGTCATTGCTACTATGTGGTGGGTGAGAGAACTTGGGGTGTTACGAAAGTGATTTGCAACAAAGTACAGACATTCATCAACAACTGCCTACTCTGGCTCATTACTGAAGCTTAGATGGCCAGAGATAATGAGAATAAGCAACGAGGGACTCTGGCTTGCTGGCTGGCTGGCTGGCTGGCAACGAACCAAGTAAGCACGAACCTATTGCTGAACAAATATGCAGGTAAGGGAAGTGGAGATGGACTGGGCATACAGTGAGAAAGCCGACAGAGGACATCTCGCGCCAGGCCAGGTACTCGAGTGGAACCCCGATGGGAAGTGACGAGTTGGGCGTCCGAGGTGAGGATGACATGGAGGAGATCGTGCGAGGAAGAAATGATAGCTTGTGGGCTGTCGTGGAGCCAGGTTCAAACGTTCGCAGAGAGGAGAGTGGAATGGAGACGTGCTACTGAAGCCCTATGTTCCATTTGAAACCCAAGGGACAAATAATAATAATAATATGTCATAAGGGCGCAGCTATTAAAGTTCATCAGTCGACCATTCCATATTGGTTTTGTATTAATTGACCAACTTAACGTCCCATCAGCTGTTCTTTTGACTAGTATTTACTACTCATCAGTTTTTTGGTGTTTCAATTTGAATAGCAGCTCACATGATTGACACTATTTGTGTTGCCATGCTTGACGAACCGTTTCCAACCATCAAATTTTACACTAGAAAAAAATGTATAAATTTGTGACTGTGTACAACTTTGAAAATGAAATCACCGATAAAAGAATTTTCACTGTTTCTTTCATATCCTGTTGGATATATTTCATAAATTCCATATATTTACCTCAGAACTCTCAAATACACTAATCAATCAGTAGACAGCAAATAAGGTCGTCATGTTTAGTCCAAATAGCCTCTCAAATTCAAACGATGAAACCAAGTGATATACCACCGTATTACGTCAGTAGATTTGGATTTGCTGAATACAATAGGGTAGGATGGACTGCTTGACTACTTGGTTCTGTTCTGTATTGAGTAACTGAGTAATCACAACCCGTACTAAATCGATAGAGTTCTATCATAAGTAAAGATCAGCCAGCATCGTATCCGTTATCTCTCAGTCTTCTCATCGGATTACATTACTTACTTCTATATGAAATCATGCTAATTTTGGTTATCACTTAGTGTGGATAATAATTTCTGATGAAACATCAGAATCTTGTAGGCTACAGATATCCTCTGTTGATAAGTTTTGGCAAACATGAAATGGAAATCAATCAATCAATATCAACATAGGGCCAGGCATTACTGCGTAACGGTCCCACTCGCCACACCTCATATCACTACATCAAGTAAAAAGGCAGTGAGGTGCAAGATGAAGATAAGAGAATGCAGTCAGAAGAAATGTAAAGTACGAGAAGAAAGAAAGGAGGAATGACAAAGTAGTGAGATTCAGTATAGCATCGTTAAGATGAGGGTAATGTACGTATACATCTGAGCCACTCACATCGGTTCTTAGCCATATCACCTAGAGTCAGTCTTCAACCACTGGTTCCTCTTGTCCCGCGGACCCCAGGCACCAAGTCTGCATCGGCCCATATGCTTCAAACAAACAGTCAAACACTTCATACATTGGTGCCATATTTTTGTTGGCATCAAGCAGGATTACCTAATGATTACCTCCAACTGTGTAGCAGTTCTTTTCTATCGAAATTGACTCTATAGGAAGACAGTTAGTCTAGCCATCTTATCTACTTTTTCCTTATTTTAGGCTTCAAATGAATTAGATGAAAATTGGACATTATTTCGAAATGATCTATCTGAATCGCCTACAAAAGCTAAATGGATTGTTTCATCTACACCACCAGGATCATATATCGGTTATGATGGTAGACAAATACCCTATACAGGAATTGAAACAATACAAAAAGAGTTAACTAATGCTGAAGCTGAAATAGGCATTTTACCAATTTGTTCAGGGAATAAAAATTCTCAAAGTCGACAATTAATTGATATACCGAATATAAATTTAATCGATTTAGTTTGGCAGTCAATGTCTGAATTACAGATTGAAAATGTTCATCGACCTATACGTTTATCAAATCCATTGATATTTATTCCACAATCATTTACTGGTTCAAGTTTTCAACAAAAAATAAATTGTGTTAGAAATATAATGCAAATGAAAGGTGCTCAAATGTTAATTCTTACTGCATTAGATGAAATTGCTTGGTTATTCAATTTACGTGGAAGTGATATACGCTATAATCCAGTATTTTTTGCATATGTTATTTTAAGTATGAATAAGGTTGATTTATTTTTAAATTCAAAAACTGTTAGTCAAACTCAAGGATTACAAGATTACCTTAAGGATGATGAATGTGAAGTAAGTATAATGAGACGTTTACATCTTAAAATTTTCTTTGCAACAGTTAAACTATTAACTATCAGTTAGTAGTATAAATATATTTCGTGAATAATTTTTCCAGAATGGATTTCCGTTATCTTGAACTTTTCACTTCTCTGGATGATATTGAAGTTGAAATCACTTTTAATTAGAAAAGTAACCTGTTTCTTAAGTTTCATTTTGTTTCTAAAACTGAGGATAATTTATGCAGCTGCTCCTGTCCACCCCAAGCAAAATATTAAACCGCATCATCCTGGAGAGTCTAATGGATGCTCTGGATTCAAAATTACGACCGGAACACGCTGACTTCAGGAAAAACAAATCATGTGCGGATCAAATTGCAACACTACACATCATCATAGAACAGAACGTAGAATGGTAGTCAGCCCTCTACCTCAACCTTATCTACTTTGGAAAGGCTTTTGACAGCGTTGACCGACAAGTAATTTGGCAGTTGCTTCAACACTACGGTTTCACTACCACAAACATTCGTTAATCTCATTCAACAACTATATGAAAGCGCTACATGTCAAGTGATCCACAATGGGAAGCTCAGTGACGTGTTTGAATTGAAGACAGGAGACATGAGTAAGACAAGGCTGTCTTCTATCACCAATGATATTCCTGATTGTGGTGGAATGGACTAGATCATGCAACAAACAGTGAGGAGCGAGAAGAGGGAGATACGTTAGCTGGACCGGGGAAAAGAACGTGGAATATTTGGATTTTGCCGATGACTTATTACTGATGTCACACAAACTCGAAGATCTGTAGTCGAAAACTAACAAGTTGACAGAAGAGGCGGGGTAGGGCAGCGAAGACGTGACCTCGTTCAAGTGAACGTAGAGAAGACAGAGTTGATGAAGATACCCAACCAACGCCACCACCACCACCACCAACAACAACAACAATAACAACAAGAATCTCCAATCACCATGAACAGGAGAAACTTAAATGAAGTAGTCTGTTTCACCTATGTAGGCAGCAGTATTTCAACTACAGGTGGCGGCACAGACGACGACATCAAATGCAGGATCAGAAAAGCAAGACAGGTGTTCATTGGCGTGAAACGAGTGTGGAGATGTTCTGCACTGCACTCAGCATGTGGAACAACATCCAGATTCTCAACACTAATCTCATTCAAGTCATTGCTACTATGTGGTGGTTGAGAGACTTGGGTGTTACGAAAGTGATTTGCAACAAAGTACAGACATTCATCAACAACTGCCTACTCTGGCTCATTACTGAAGCTTAGATGGCCAGAGATAATGAGAATAAGCAACGAGGGACTCTGGCTGGCTGGCTGGCTGGCTGGCTGGCTGGCAACGAACCAAGTAAGCAAGAACCTGTCACTCAACAAATATGCAGGTAAAGAAAGTGGAGACGGATAGGATAATAATAATAATAAAATAATAATAATAATAATTCTGATTCCAGAGACTATGATGAATTTCAGTGAAGATTAGTGGAACTTTTAGTTTTACGTTTTAGTTTAGTGAGTGCTACTTAGAAAAATGCATGTAAGTAGTATCTACGGCAAGTTGAAAAGTGACAACAATCGATTGGTGAAAAGTCGAGTAAAGGGAACATACCATATTAGATGAGAATACATAAACCAAGAAGTGGACTAAACCAAATGCATAACTGAAGATAATTTGCAAATGGACAAATTGCGACTAGGTATAGGACTTATTGTGATTGTGTAGTGTATTCCGCAACTAATAATAAGCACTTTGAATTAGTGAAGAATATTTGTATCTTAGCTGGATGACTTTGGTTGTGTTATGCTCTCTGAGCTCGGTTGTTTAATCGTGAAGCTTTCATCATCTTTCGAGACAGTGACATCATCAGCACTAACTTCTGTATGATGAGTGCTTCACGATTAAATAAACCAGGTCCGAGAACACAATACAATCAAGAAAAGAACTTTAGAATTTCAGACTTCTGGTAGCAATCACTGGCGTGTTCATCATCATCAAGATCAACATAGGACCAGGCATTACTGCGTAACTGTCCAAGTTGCCATACCTCCTATCACCGCATCAAGTAACAAGGCAATATAATGGAAGATGAAGAGGGAAAGAAAAATCGGTCGAAAGAAGTAGCAGTAGTGAAAGATAAGAAACAGTAATGAGCAGATGATGAAATTAAGTAAGTGTTTAGACGTCTGTGCCATTTCATTTAGAGTTTCCAACTACTGATTTCACTTGTCCCGTTGACCCCATCCGTCTAGTCTGCATCGCTTTATATGGCTCAAACGAACGGCTTAATGCAATGATGCGATGTTTTAATCTGGCAACTGTGAGCTTTTTCCAGCTTGAAACTGCTTTGGCGAATATTGTTTGATGAGGTAGACGTTGGTTAGGCATGCACGTAACCTATGTGCGAGGCATCTCAGTGGATGAAGTTTAGCACTGACAGAGTTGTGAGTGTGGTTGAAACTTCTCAGTTGTCCACATCGTGGAAGGCTAGGTGTTTTTGATGTGCCTGAAAAAGTAGGGTTAGTGCGACATTGCATAGCCCAGACGACATCTGCTAGAGGCTAGTCTCGTTCGGCCTTTTTGTTGCCACAAGAATTGGCCTGTGTTGTGGTAGGTGTGGTCGTTCATACGTCTTGTGGTTTTGGATCAGGACTAACCAGTGATGACTGATCTAAGCCATGATGATGGATGGTTTCATTGTTGAAGACCATGTTAAGGTAAGAGGTAAGTGCTTTTTATATGAACACTATCGAACAGACCTTCGTGGTATGGTAGGACCTCAAGAGATCGAGGGTTTCACCAGCACATCTCGTTAGGTCATCGTGATATATATAAGCCGGAAGAATAAGTCGAGGTGGTAGCTATCGCTCGGGAACTGATGTATTAGGAGTGAATTGATGTAAAGTAGTGGAGATCCAGTTGCCAGGGAAAAATCAAGATTCATCTCTCTATGCTTTTGTGCATAGGAGTTAGACTGTTATCGTTTGAGGCTTAATTAATTTAATTTTCTAGGTATCATTTAGGAAAGGTTGTTGACAGAAGAATTATCTGTTTTAAAACTTGCGTAGTCGCGTTCTACCTTGCAATGTGTTATAGCTGAACTATAAATCAATGTGCTGTTTGGCACAGAATTGTCTCGTTCCAAACTGATATACAACAAAGTGGATCGGAAAAAAGTGATAGCAAAGTAGACGAAAGTGTATACCATCAAACTTCAGCCAACATATCACGTCGAAGTAGGCGATGGTTGGGCATACGTAATACATTTTCACTCGGTGTAGGTTCACAACCTCAGTGACTGACTTACTTCCCTTGTCGTGTACTTTATGCTCTAATTGGTTCACGCAGAATTCCGCCATACGTGAGCAGTGCTGCGAAGACATATGTAGTCAAAATCCTATATGCCTTTCATATTCTTCTATTTCGTATGACCATGTCTTATAGCCGTATAACAAGACAGAGCCAATTGCAGCTTAGTATACTCGTCTTTTAATAGATGATGAGATATCTGATCGGCGCCAGAGTATAGCGTAGGTTAGCAACTGCCTCGTCAGCTACCGATCCGCCTAGACTGATACAACTTCTTAACCGAGTAAACTGGTTAACGCATTTTACCACTTTACTCTAGACGAATCCTAAAGCCTCGTGTTACATTTAGCAGGCGCTATAAGCATATCAAACATAGACAGATTTCTAGTCAAAGCGTTCAGAAGACTTAACATTTTATATTTATTTTCATCTATCTTGATAATATCGTGTGCGTACTCCATATCAACCAGGTACCCTTCTGGGAGGAAGTCAATCTATGTAAACCTAATAGAAAATCAGGTAATATCCATATGTGTATATATATGACAATGTTTTTAAGAAGAGTCAACTTTATTTTGTCACATTAAACATTTATTATTCCGAAATGCACTAGCTATTCCTCAGATTCTCTATAGAAGCTCATAATGTACTTACACACTCTAAAAATCTTAGTAAACGTATGTGTCCTGAAACCTAATCTCTTCATTTAGCCTACTAAACTAATCCACATCAACTCTGACATATTCGGAAGCACCAGTTTTTACAGGTATACTAGCGATATGGGGTGTTTAACTTGGGCTTACAATAACATTCTCATTACAGTATCAATTGCAAAATAGTTTTTTAGGCAGAGTGACTGATCGAATGATGATTCCTTGTGTTTAGATGGGTTTTAAATAAAGGTAACTAAATGGATACAGTGAACTTGTGCACATCTGTGCAGTAGTCAGTGAACTGCACCTATTGTGCAAGGACTATTGATATTAGGAGGGTTCGAACCCGTGGCTTACCGGTTGGTAGTCATCATCTTAAATCATTGAGCCATAGTAACCTCGCCTAGCTAACAAATTCACTAGTTACTACCCTGTCCTAAGCCCGGATAAAGGGGAAAAGTTGGGCATTGGGCTAGCAACCCTACCCCGTAAAACCAATCCAATCGCTAAAGAGACTTCAAACACAAAGAAAATATGAAACTAAACTTGTTCCTCGCTGGAATTGGAGAGACGAATGACGCTGGTTGGTTAATGCATTCGGGAAGCCAGTCGACCGATGTGTCTTCTATCGATTAACGCAAAAGTAAACATGGGGACATGGAATGTCCGCAACATGTATGAACCTAGCAAGGCTGCCAGATTGCAAAATAAATGAGAATAGCATAGAAGTGATAGGAATCTGCGATGGTAGATGGAATGGAAGTGGAATCTCCAAACTCTCAACTGAAGAGTCAATAATATACTCCGATATTGTCACAAAGACGACAACCACGACCACACTGAGTTTTGGAGTGGCTATCATGATGTCCCCAAGAGCATCGAAGGCTCTCTCTGTGTAGTGGGAACCAATCTCCTCTGCAGGATCATGATAGTAAGGTTAAACTCAAAAGGAACGGAAGTCACATTCAAACAGTGCCACGCTACGCACCCACAAATTATGCAGATCAAGAAAAGGAGGAGGAATTCTTTAGACAACTCCAGTCAGTAATGGACAAGACCAAAACCCAGATGGCGACATCAAAATTGTAATAGCTGAAATGAATACCATACTCGAAGCAGACAACACAGAAAGAGAACTCATCATTAGTCGAAAAGCATTCTGTGAAATGAATGAGGATGGAGAACTGTTTGCAGATTTCTGCGCGTTCAACGATTCGCTGATTGGTGGCATTGTGTGCAAACACAAGGATATTCACAAGGCAGTGACATAGACTTCACCAGATGGACACCTTACACTAAGAATCAGATCGACTTCATCACAATATGAAGAAGGTGGAGACGCAGCCTACTAGACACAAAATCAGATCAAGAAAAGGAGCAGATATAGGTTCAGACTATCATGCTGTCTAGTGCAAGAAACCTTCCAAACCAAGTTAAAAGCCTTCACAGAAGTTGGTGACAGACGACCATAGTTCAAATTCAACACCCAGAAACTGCAGGACGAAACTATACAGAGGACATCTTCACCTCAGTCATCAGGAAATGGTAGACACTAACCAGCATCCCTGAAGAAACTTGCGTGGAAGAACACTGGAACTCTTTGAAAGCTATGTGGAAAGAAACCTGCATAACGGTATTAGGTAGAAAGAAGAAAGAAGACAAGGGACGGATATCGACGGATCTCCACATGGAAGCTGATGGAGGTGGAAGAGGAAGATGATGAAGCAGAAGATGAACCAGTGCAGGTATGAACAACGAAAAGAGGAACTGAACACAACCTATAAAACACCACACTAGACAAAGAAGTGAAGAAGAGTGCGCTCAACGAGAAAAGACACTTCTACTACACATTGACAAGTTAGCAGAACAGGCTACAGGTAAGAAGACAGAGACCTGACAATACTATATCAAATAACCAGGTTACTATCTGGGAGGGAAGAGATCAACGCAGATAAGACCAGTATAAGATAGTGAAGGAAACCTAGTTAGCAAAGAGAAGAAACAAGGAAAACGATGTGCTGACTACTTCGAGAAGCTCTTGAATCGACCACCACCACCTGCAACTCGTCCAGAAATACTACCAGCAGCTCAGACACAGAACTATCAGTTAACACAAGCCCTCTGACAAAAGATGAAGTGAACTCGTGAACGCCGTAAAATTACTGAAATCACAGAAAGCAGCAGGATCAGATGGAATTCCTCCAGAAGCACTGAAAACAGATGCAGAGCTAGCAGCGGACATGCTCACACCACTATTGCAGAAGGTTTGGAAGAAAGGAAGGCAAGGTAACTTCCAGGTGATTGGAAGGAGGGCTTCCCTATCAGCGGACTCCCAAAGAAGGGCGACCTGAGTCTGTGCAAGAACTGGCGTGGAATCATGTTCCTGTCCACCCCCAGGCAGCAAAATATTAAGCCGCATCATCTTGGAGAGACTACAAAATGCTCTCGATTCAAAGTTACGACCGCAACAGGCTGGCTGGTTTCAGGAAAATCAAATCATGTGCGGATCAAATTGCGACGCTATGCCACGCTACGCATCATCATAGAACAGAGCATAGAATGGCAGTCAACCTGATCTTTAACTCAATTCCATCGACTTTGGAAATGCCTTCGACAGCGTCAACCGAGAACTAATTTGGAAACTGCTTCAACACTACGGTTTTAGTGCCACAAACCTTTATCAACCTCATTCAGCATCAGATATTTGCTGTATGATGAGGCTACAAACCAAGTGATTGACAACTGAAAGCTCAGTGATGCCTTTGAAGTGAAGACAGAAGTAAGACAATTCTGCCAACTACCATCGATGATCTTCCTGATTGTGATCGACTCGACTCGACTGGATCATACAACAAACTGTGACAAGCTAGAAGAGGCGCATAGGCTGTTTGACCAATGAAAAGAGCCTAGAAGGTTTGGACCTCACCCATGATGATTTATGTCGAATGTCTTATCGCACAAACTCAAGATTTACAGGTAAAAACCAACAAGTTGGCAGAAAAGTCAGAGAAGGGACAGCGAAGACGGGACTTCCTTCAAGTAGAGAAGTTAGAGGGGATGAAGATAGTCAACCAACAAGCACCAATCACCATGAACGGGAGAATCCAAAGGGAAGTAGTCTCTTTCATCTACCTATCTAGGAAGCATCGTTTCAACTACAGGCGGTGGCACAGATGAGGATGCCAAAAACAACGGAGTTAGGTTTTCACTAACCTGAAATTTATGTGGAGATCTACTGCACTCAGCGTAAAGCATGAACAAGATCCGGATTTCTAACAATTCAGTCAAGTAAGTCGGTGCTTCAATGTGATATTTCAGAAACTTGACGCGTCACGAAAAGCACTCCCAACAAACTACAGATATTCATCAACAGCTGCCTACTCTGGATACTGAAGATCAGATGGCCAGAATAATAAGAATAAGCAATCAGGAACTCTGACCTGCCAACGAGGCAACCAACAACCCATCACCTAACAGTTATGTAGAAGAAAGTGGAGATGGATTCGATTGGGTATACACTGAGAATATTGTTTAGGGACATCATGTGCCAGGCCCTCGAGTGGAATACAATGGGAAAACGACGAGTTGGTCGTCTGAGCCGAGGGTGATATGGAGATGGTGTAAGGAAGAAATGAGAGCTTGTGGGAAAACGTGGAGCCAGGTTCAAAAGACTGCAGAGAAGAGAGTGGAATGCAGACATGCTACTAAAGCGTTATGTTCTACTAGAAACCCAAGGGACAAATAAATAATGATAATAATTGAGCCATAGCAACAATTTTTCAGAAAAATAAATAGTGAAGTCAATGCGTTTAAAGTTAGTTGTTGGGTTTCATGTACCTTTTTTTCATGACAATGAACGACAATAAACTGATGTGATTCCCTTGCGAAAATAGATCTCTGAGAGAAGCGTTTTATAAATTAACGAAATATATTACTGAATAATGTAAGTAGTTTTAAACGACTCACACTGATCTGCAACTGGTCTCATCAAATTGTATCTGTGAGCTGAGTTTGTGACCTTACTTGACCCTAGACGAATGAAATAGCCTTCCAGTGTTCAGTTTATTATGATCTATCTACCGAAATCTATAGATAATGATGAATGTTTCTAACCACATATACTTTTCTGTAGTTTAGATCATACACCTAGCATTAAAAGAACTTACTTCAATTTTCCTTTTTCTTTGGTTTTCTTTACTAAGAGTTATCTTTAAACTGTCTTAAAGTTTTGAAAATCGGCATCGAAAAACTGTCATACTTTAGTTGTACGATGGATTCGAAGTTTAATGGGAACAACACCACTCAGGTACATTCAGCTGATCTATTGAGTTCCAAACAGGTCGAAACACACCTCCTAGATCTAACTGCTAGCCACTACTTAACAATAATGTCAAATTTAGTAATGACTGAATCATTTTTTACGAATCAAATTGAAAAGTAATAAAACATTTTTAAGCTTTGAGTAGTTTTTGAGGAATGGACATTGATGTATCTTGACTAAAAAACAAGTAAACAACTAACATATTAATGATAGATCGTGACTAGCAGTGGAATCCAGGATACACGTTTCGTCCTATGTGGGACTCGTCAGCCGAATATTCCTGCTTCCCAGTGAGTGATGTTGTTCCCACCGGGATTCGGATTCGATCGCTTCAAACGCCAGGGCGTTATCTACTACACCACCGATGGGAACAACATCACTCACTGGGAAGCAGGTATATTCAGCTGACGAGTCCCACATAGAGGACGAAACGTGCATCCTGAATTCCACTGCTAGTCACTATCCATCATTAATATAATTAGAACACAGGCAATATCGAGGCATCCGCACAGGAGCCCATATGCCAATAGAGACCGATCAATTCGATGCAAACAATTATACTAACAACTAACATGTTTTGTTATTCACTAGGTAAATATTCATGAGTATTCTGAGTTTTTCAATTACCTGGAGATGATTGTTCAAAATACAATGGAAAAACAACAACCACCATCGCTGTCGCCGCCTCCACCACCACCACCACGTATATGGCTTGATTTAATCGCTAGTCAAGCAATTGTATCTAGAATTCCAGAAAATCAACGTTTAATTGATATCTCACCTGTGAATGAAATGAAATCAATAAAATCTTTATCAGAATTAAATGGAATACGTGAAATTCATATTACTGATTCACTAGTTCTGTGTGATTTCTTGGCTTGGTTAGAAGATGAGGCTAACAAAACTACTACACTACTACTACTACGCGTACCAATGAAAGACAGTCAAGTGATTGTGAACCATTGAAACCGAATTCAGAAAATGGTGCAGGTCTACCAATTTTAAAACCACCAGCTATTTTAACTGAAACATCAGCTGCTAAATATTTAGATGATATGAGATCACAGGCTAAAGATTTTGTCAGTCTTAGCTTCAGTACAATATCATGTGTTGGTAAGTTCTAAGAATTCCATTTATACTGTCTACACACATACACATTATGCTGAGATGTAGTATTTCTGTTTAGCTGTAAGAAGTTGTGCATGATTGGTGTAAGGAGTTGACTTTCAACCAATTATTATGATTATTATTTGTCCCTTGGGTTCCTAGTGGAACATAGGGATTCTGTAGCATGTTTCCATTACACTCTCTTTTCTGCATTCTTTTGAACTTGGCTCCATGACAGCTCAGAAGTTTTCATTTCTTCCTCACACTATCTCCTTCATATCACCCTGGGCTCAGACGCCCAACTCATCGTTTCCCATCTGGTTTCCACGTGAGTGCCTAACGCGTGATGTCCAATCACCAAATCGTTGAATGCACAGAATTCTGCAAACAATTCTCCATTCTCGTCCACTTCATGGAGCACTTCTCTACCCATGATCAGTTCTCTTCCTGTGTTGTCCGCTTCCAGTTTGGCATTCATGTCACCCATTAGAATTTCGACTCCATCTGGAGTCTTGTCTAGTACTGATTGAAATTGTCTGTAGAATTCCTCCTTCTTCTCTTCATCTGCATTGATCGTTGGCACGTAGCATTAAGTGAATGTGACTTTTCTTCCTTTTGAGTTGAACCCTGCTGTCATGATCCTGATCCTGAAGGAGATTGGTTCCCACTGATTTACCCTCAGATATTATTATTTATCCCTTAGGTTCCTAATGGAAAATAGGGCTTCAGTAGCACGTCTCCATTCTACTCTCTTCTCTGTAATCTTTTGGACCTGGCTCCACGAATTCCCACATGCTCTCATTTCTTCCTCATACGATCTCCTCCATGTCACCCTCATCCGGGACGCCCAACTCGTGGCTTCCCATCTGGTTTCCAATCGAGTGCCTGGCACGTGATGTCCCCGAACGGTCTTCTCAGTGCTTGCCTGATCCATCTCCAGTTCCTTTTGCATATTTGTTGGGTAATGGGTTCTTGTTTGGTTTGTTGCCCGGTCAGAGTTCCTTGTTGCCTATTCTTTCTGGTTATTTGAACTTCAACAACGAGCAACCAGACTCCACGATTTCGAACAGCGCTGTACCTAGCAAGGCATGGGCATCTAGGTTGTATCATTTTTCGTCACACAATAAGCGTGAATGATACCTATTGAATGAACATATATGTAGTTGCTGAGGACATTTTGATTCGTATATCTGTGAATGTTAGGGAATTTCAAACGGTTGTTTAGATTATATGTCGGTGCGATGTAAGCTATACAAACATCTGTTACTTCTCTGAATGGTACTTACGTCCCCAGGTAGTCGGTCAAAAATAAATGAACTAACTGTCCACAAACCTTATTTCAGTGTTGGCAGTTTTAAAGACATTAAATTATGAAAAAGGATTCGTAATATTATCTTCTTTAGACCTAGCTGCGGGTCACTGGTCTTGACGGTTGCTAACTTCAAACCTTACTCAATATATAAAGGTTTGCGCAGCCAGATGGTCGTGTCAGGCTTTAAACAGTAGATATGGCTCATTCCCTAATGCATAGATCTGGATATGGTTGCCGATTTGAAATATAGTTAGTACACATTATTATTATCGTTAGTTAGTCGTAAAATCTTATATACGCGAATCGGTTACTGGGTTGTTATCGATGTATTTTTGAGATCCTGATGCTGCTAGATTATCAAATAGTGTTAGAAATGCCTATATATATCTGTTTACTGTTAACCTCATGGTTGGACTCATTATGTACCCAGCGATGTGGAATATAGTCGACAGCTAATTCAGGGACGACTATGGTGTACTATTAACGGATGCCTTTATCATCTTATAAGGTGTATTTTTACTTATGCGATTCCTGGCGTAGTATATTAGAACAATATAATAATAAACAAACATTAGTATGATGGAGAATGTATCTATCTCAGGTGGATGGTCTTGGTTGTATTGTGTTCTTTGGGCTGAGTTGTTTAATTATGGAGACGCTTTAATTGTCTTTCAAGACAGCGACACCGTCAGCACTAACTTCAGTATGAATTGTGACCTGTCAATATCTCTCCGTGAGCGAGTGAGTGATTAAGTAGCTTGCCCTGACCAACTGGTTTGTGATTGGTTGTTTCCTTTGATTATTGTGTCATTGACTGACTGCATCGATTTTGGTGTTGGCTGTTCCTCTGTCTCACCTGCGACCTTCCTCACGTTTATCACTTTTATCTCATAAGTTGATAGATTGGATCTATGTCTATACATCTATTGATTGCTGATTGACTGTCTGACTGACTGACTGACTGACCTGAATACCATGCTTCAAGGAATTGACTGATATTCTGTTGTTGGTTTGTGATGCGAGCGGTACAGCAATTCACCAAATGGTGTGTCAGTAATCTTTTCTTGATGTCTGATATATTTTTTATGTCTGGTAAGATGATGGGTTTATTGATTTCTGTCGATGATGTAGAGTTGTAGTTGATGATGGATAGGATAGGGATGTTCTGATGAAGTTTTGTGAGTGGGCGTTCTTCTTTAGGGTGGACATGAAGTGATTTCCTTGATTTCTGCATGAGTTTGTTGTACTGCAGTGTGTTCTTGCTCTTTTGAATAGAGTTTGCATGCAAGTAATTTTGTGCGTTGTTTGGTTGTTGGACATCAGTATACACATCCATCGGAGCCCAATTGACGGAAGAAAGTATGTCGTTCCTGCTGACTGAAGACACAAGCTTTTGAGAACAGAGTCTGATGGTACTCATTGACCTACGCCTGACGGCACACTTTCAAATCGACTGATAGGTTACTGCTGAGTGCTGACGTAATTATACCGATCATTTTTAAGTGCAGTCATCAGGCTAATGAAATGATCATCAAGATGCACTTTTGTTGGATGATAGATGACTGGAAGACCTTCTCAAGCCAAGTTTCGCACTTGTTGGCACTTGTCAGGAGGATGTACCTGCAGGCTCAAGGAAACTCATCTCCCCTTTAAGATTTGAGCCTCCACCATTCAGCGCTTCAGTCATCGTTGCGCTATCACTAATTTTATAATTTGATTGTCAGCTGTGATACGTTTATGTCGAGCGTTGATATCAACCAGTCTACTTTAAACCTCCCATTCCACTTATTATCAAATAAAATCCTCTTTCCTGTCAAATCTCTGTCATTCACATTTGTATCTTACGGCTAATTTACTTATTTTGTGCTAAATTATTTTGCTTTTTTCTTTGTTGTGTTTTTCGGTTGTTTAGATGCAAATGGTGCAATTGTACACTATCATCCTGTTGAAGGTCAAGATTTACCTATCACCAAGTCAAGTATCTACTTAGTTGATTCTGGTGGTCAATATTTAACGGGTACAACGGATGTCACACGGACAATACATTTGAATGAGCCTACATTAGAGGAAAAGAATTGTTATACAGCTGTTTTAAAAGCTCATATTTCACTTGCTATGCAGGTTGGTGTTTTCTTTTATATTGTACCTTTTCAAATGATCATCATCAAAATCAACATAGGACCTGGCATTACTGTATTATAACAATCCAAGTTGCCACATCTCAGAGCAACACATTAAGTAACAAGACAATAGAATGGAAGATGAAGAGGGAAAGAAAAATCGGTCGAAAGAAGTAGCAGTAGTGAAAGATAAGAAACAATAATGAGAAGATAATGAACTTAAGGATAGCAGTTAAGATAAGGATAATGTGTGTAGATATCTGCGCCAGTGACATCGGTTCTCAGCCATTTCATTTAGAGTTTCCAACTACTGATTTCACTTGTCCCGTTGACCCCATCCGTCTAGTTTGCATCGCTTTATATGGCTCAAACGAACGGCTTAATGCAATGATGCGATGTTTTAATCTGGCAACTGTGAGCTTTTTCCAGCTTGAAACTGCTTTGGCGAATATTGTGTGACGAGGTAGACGTTGGTTAGGCATACACGTAACCTATGTGCGAGGCATCTCAGTGGATGAAGTTTAGCACTGAGAGAGTTGTGAGGGTGGTTGAAACTTCTCAGTTGTCCACATCGTGGAAGGCTAGGCGTTTTTGATGTGCCTGAAAAAGTGGGGTTAGTGTGACATTGCACAGCCCAGACGACATCTGCTAGAGGCTAGTCACGTTCGGCCTTTTGTTGCCAGAAAAATTGGCCTGTGTTGTGGTAGGTGTGGTCGTTCATACGTCTTGTGGTTTTGGATCAGGACTAACCAGTGATGACTGATCTAAGCTATCATGATGGATGTTAAGGGTAAGAGGTAAGTGCTTTTTATATGAACACTATCGAACATACCTTTCTGGTATGGTAGGACCTCAAGGGATCGAGAGTTTCACCAGCACATCTTGTTAGGTCATCGTGATACAGAAGCCTGACCCGATCGGGAACTGATGTGTTAGGAGTGAATTGATGTTATTACCTCTCCATCTGAAACTGTACAATTGACTTCTGCGTCACTCACGTGATGACGGCCTATTCTACTAAGACAACGGTGGATAAACACTAAAAGCCTTCTCGTGTCATGTCTATGTCGTACAACTATAGAGTAGAAAGAACAGAGCGGAGTGCAGCATGGTACGACCTACTAATTCAAATTGTGTTATGAAGCTAAAAGAAAACATGTCTTGGCATTTCCGCTGCATTCCGTTGAAATGGGTCACACAATTGACTTTGATGGAGCTACGTTTCTTCAAAAAGACTTAGGTTATACGAAGGAAGATTGATATTCGAAGCGCACTACATATATGTGGGCAAATGTAGATAGTTTGAACAAATCAGCTTCGGGGACAGTTAGATGCCTCTCTTGGCAAGTAATTTAAGATTCATTATCATCATCATCATCATCATTATTACTAACATTTATTTCCATTCTATTGGGATAAATCAATTTTAAAAATTGTAAATGCTATCCATTATCAGTTTGACCATGTGGACTACGGCACAGTTCGAACCACCAGCTGAGATGTTCATTTCACTTTCATTCATCACCCAGCATTAATACTATTCATTCTTATGTACCAACAGAAATGGCACATATATCCACCTCATATGCCTTACTGTATCTAATGACTACAGTGTCATATGTGACCGTTTTTGTCTCGTATTTACAATGAAAAAGGGTATGAATAACAACACACACGCCATACAACCTGAGACATCGCCGACTACAACACTGAGTAACTGTTATTCGAATCTCAAAGGGGATATCATTTCCCTTACTCTGACAAGTGCTAACAAGCACGAAACACAGGTTGAGGATGGCTTTCTGCTGATTACCTCCAACCAACTAACAGCGACATACAATTTAATACTGAATGATTAGTAATCATATTTTAGAAAGACAATAACTTTACAAAGACGTGTGTATTCGCTTGTAAACTCTTTCCTAAAGGTCCTATTGACTGTTTCCATAAATCATGAAGGGTTTCCTGTAGACTATTTGATGGCTAACTGTGGAATCCAGGAGGTGCATTTTATCCTGTTTCGCTTCCGCAAGACTTGAGAGTTGGAAGAGAATGTCAATTGCTTAATACAGGATTAAAATATTTATAACAAGATCCAGATTTTCAACAACAATAATTCAGTCAAGTAAGTCAGTGCTTCTATGTGATGGTTGAGAGACTTGGCACGTTACAAAAAGCATTTCCAACAAACTACAGAGATACATCAACAGCTGCCGCCTACGTTCACTCGAAACTGGAGATGAAAATCAGATGGCCAGAATAAGCAACAAGGAACTCTGGCCTGGTAACGAATCAATCGACCAGGAACCCATCGCCCAACAAATATGCAGTGGAAGAAAGTGGAGATGGATTGGATTGTACATACGGTGAGATGGTTGGGGGACATCACGTGTCAGGCCAGGCCATCGAGTGGAACTTAAATGTGAAACGACGAGTTGGTCGTCTGAGCCCTGAGTGACATGGAGGAGATAGTGTGAGGAAGAAATGAAAGCTTGTGGGCAGTTGTAGAGCCAGTTTGAAAAGACTTCAGAGTTGAGAGTGGAATGGCGACGTGCTACTGAAGCCTTATGTTCCACTAGGAACTTAAGGCACAAATAATAATAATGTATCCATGAGAAGGGGGTTCAAAAACTTTGATTTCACATTAGTTTCACTGTCTTAAAGATAAGAAGAGTGGCTTAATAGTCTGTTTAGGATATCAGTAACCATTATCATATGAATCGTGCTTTTGAGTTACAGCCTGTATTCTTATGGAATCAGGTAATATCTTGTAGACTAAATTGAACTAACTGGGTGATTGCTTAGACAATCATCAATGAAGATGAAATTCTATCCACAAAGTTGGCAGTATCTTTTCTTATCTCATGTCGAAAAATTGGATCCAAGTGATCTTTTTAACATTCTTGTCAGTACGGTATATCTTCAATGGGATTGAAGCTTTGTTCAACAGTCGACTATGAAATGGACAAGTACTTAAGAGACTTAGATAGTCTGTTCAAGTTATTAGGGTAAAGAAATGACCAATTACTAGAATAAAATCATAAACTAATGGTTAACTGTTACTCTGATTTTCGAAAGCAAAGTAGAAGTTTGTACACAAGTCCATCTCTTCAAGTTGTCACATTCAACAGTAGTATACAAAGAACAAGTAGATACACAAAGAGATAATGGTATACTCAACACATTTACAAGCCATGTCAGCTGATGAAGATTGAAAACCCTATCGATTCAGTATCCTTTCTTATCTAGTACCCTTCGCTGAATCAGTTGACGAGGTTATGAACCTTCATCGATTGAGATGGTTGGGACACGTACTACGTATGCCTAGTCACTGATTACCTCGTCACATAATGTTGACCGAAGTAGGCGTAGGCTGGAAAAATGCCCTAGGTAGCCAGACTAAAACATGGCACCAATGTATGAAGTCTCTGGCTGTTGGTTTGAGCCATATGGGCCGATGCAGACTAGGTGGTTGGGGTCGGCGGGACAAGAGGAACCAGTGGTTGGAGACTGACTCTAGGTGATATGGCTCAGAGTTGATGTCAGTGGCGCAGATGTATCCTCACACATACACTATCCTCATCTTAACGATGCTATACCGAATCTCATCATCTTGTCATTCTTCCTTTCTTTCTTCTTGTACTTTATATTTCTTTAGACTGGATTCTGTTGTCTTCATCTTGCACCTCACTGCCTTTACTTGATGTAGTGATATGAGGTGTGGCGAGTGGGACCGTTACTCAGTACTGCCTGGTCCTATGTTGATTGATTGATTGGCCCTTCGCTGAACCTTGATATCACTCATACAATAATTCTACCATACTTGAACAAAGCTATAAAATCACCTTTTGTCAAACACCTGTAGTCTATTCATATCTTCCATTTCTAACGGTCATAAATACTATGACATAATATAACCACTGAAGTGCTTTCAGCATTATCTTACTGGACAATGAACATTGAACATGAAATCTTGGCATTGGACTTCAAGAAGAAAAGAACAACATCATCTTTACACTATATGCTATAACCAAGATGGTGATTGAAGTCATAGGATGATGAATATAATTCTCTCCTTTAATTATATTGAAAAATTTAAATGGGTAACTTTAAAGAGTCACGCTAACCCTAACTGTTAGGATAATCAATTACTTTTCTTAACTGTACAACTAACCAAAAAAAATCACCCTTCTAACTGGAATATCAAAACCTGATTGGTTAATTCTGTAATTGCTGGGGTGAGCTTTGTAGTCATACAATTTAAAGGTTTCAACTATATATGTTGGTGTAATATCCTTGAAAAAAGGAATATTTTTAATTTGTTTACTATGTGAGTAGATGTAGGTTATCAATCTAGGCAGTTGGCATTTTCAGTGTCTTTGAAATAGTGGACAATATTTGTAGCTCAAGTGGATGGTCTTGGTTGTATTGTATTCTTTGGGCTGAGTTGTTTAATTACGGAGACGCTTTATGTCTTTCAAGACAGCGACACCGTCAGCACTAACTTCAGTATGAATTGTGACCTGTCAATATCTCTCCGTGAGCGAGTGAGTGATTAAGTAGCTTGCCCTGACCAACTGGTTTGTGATTGGTTGTTTCCTTTGATTATTGTGTCATTGACTGACTGCATCGATTTTGGTGTTGGCTGTTCCTCTGTCTCACCTGCGACCTTCCTCACGTTTATCACTTTTATCTCATAAGTTGATAGATTGGATCTATGTCTATACATCTATTGATTGCTGATTGACTGTCTGACTGACTGACTGACTGACTGACTGACTGACTGACTGACTGACTGACTGACTGACTGACTGACTGACTGACTGACTGACTGACTGACTGACTGACTGACTGACTGACTGACTGACTGACTGACTGACTGACTGACCTGAATACCATGCTTCAAGGAATTGACTGATATTCTGTTGTTGGTTTGTGATGTGGGCGGTACAGCGATTCCACCAAGTGGTGTGTCAGTAATCTTTTCTTGATGTCTGATAT